ACAAGGATGATCAGGGGCCTGGAACATCTGCCCTGTGAGGGGAGGCTGAGGGAGCTGGGCCTGTTCAGCCTGGAGAAGGGAAGGCTGAGAGGGGATCTGATCAGTGTATATAAGTACCTCAAGGGAGGGAGTGCAGAGGATGGTGCTGGTCTCTTTTCAGTGGTGGCCACTGATAGGACTAGAGGAAATGGCCGGAAACTGAAGCACCAAAAGTTCCACAGGAACTTAAGGAAAAATTTCTTAACAGTGAGGGTGACAGAGCACTGGAACAGGCTGCCCAGAGAGGTTGTGGAGTCTCCTTCTCTGGAGATCTTCCAAACCCGCTTGGATGCAGTCCTGTGCCACGTGCTTTAGGTGACCCTGCGTATGCAGGGGGGTTGGACTAGATGATCTCTAGAGGTCCCTTCAAACCCTAAGCATTCTATGATTCTATGATTCTGTGCCTCTTCCTAGGAATCAGTTGAATTGACATGGTGTTTTTGGTGGGTTTTGCATCATGGTTTTACATAGTAGAGATTTACCAAGGCTTTTGTAAGAAAGAGGTGATGTGGGTGAGAGCTTGTATGGAGTAGGCAGCACAGCAGGCTCAAAAGGTCAATGGCAAGTGCCTTTCCAGCTGTGCTCAAGCATCCAAGTTAGTTTCTAAAGGCCCGGGAGAATGGAAGGGAGCAGGTGGAGGGGTGCAGATAGCCAGGGAGAGAGGAGATCTGCCAAGCAGAAAAGCAGCCTGACATCTGCGTGCTGGAACCCAGCAGAGTTGGGCGCAGGTCTGGGTTCCCTCTCTGCCACCACCAGAAAGGAAAACATGAGCTTGGGAAGGTGAAAAGGCCATGGATTAGCAGGGCCAAGACCAGATTATCTGTGCCCCAGACTTCACAGTGTGACTAGCACTTTGTTTTCCTGTGGTATACAAATACAGGTGTATGGGTGATTGGCGGCCTGTTTAGGCAAATTTTGCCACTGCAGATAGCAACCAACTCCCTAGTGATAAAACTTGTCTGCTGTGTTCGAGTGGATCATGTACAGAGACTCCTAGCAATAAGTTGAACTTCCATTGCATATAAGGGGCTTGCTTTCTGCCAAGGCACCTGCAAAATAAATAAGCAGGAAGTTACGATGCAAGTTTCTGTATCCCACTAACTAATTTCTGCCCAAAGTCCCCCTTCCAGCCCTAGGCTGTCTGCTCAGCTTACCAGCAACTTTACGACTTGGTATTTGTACACCAAAGTGCTTCGCAAATGAGACTGGATTACATTAAAAATAGACGAGTTGGCAACAGCTAACAGCAGATTGCAACCAAAGACCTACAATCTAAGTCAGTGTCTCTCTGTCTCTTTGCCAAGCTGAATGAGGCAGTGTGTCATTTGCTTTCAGAAATCCCAAGCTGCTGCCTGCAAGGCTGCTATATCTTCATAGGAATGTCAACAGTGACTTCCCACATATAGCTCCCACCCGCGCTCAAAGTCAGAGCACTGTCCTAGACAAGTTGTCAGCCTTTGCTAGTATGACAGGCTTTATATAAGAAAGCAAGTTTATACCTGCTTAACTCCACCTTAAGGCTGAGCGATTGTACTGTTCAGCAAGAAGTTACCTCCATAAACGCAGAGAAAATTCTCATTAACTATTTCTTTGATATTGAAATCCTGATTTGTTTCATTCACCATACGAATGACACTTCATTTACGTATCATGGGCCCTGCTAGCCAGGACTAATGTGAACGCCATAGTGTTTTAGAAGTGCAGTGCAGTCTGTGTATAAATTTTCTTGGTCATTCAGTAAGATGATTTAACCATGAAGACTATATGCTCTGTCTGTGAGATCAGAGTGCAGGGTGTTTAATTTTAAAAAAGTGTCCTCACTTATAATTTGAAACTCTTCAGAGTTAGCCTGAAACGTGTTCATGATTGCATTAGAGGATCTATTCTAGTATAGGTTAAGTGGCTTTCTAGTGACCATCTTAATCTAATAACAGAGTTAATCTTCTCAGACAGGCCTCCTGTGCGTGTATAATTCTGCTCAAATGGTAAAGGCAATTCAACAAGTGTTTTTTAAGTTCCCAGTGCCTTACTATTTGAAAAAAAATAGCAGCAATGGGCAAAAAGAACCTAGGGCATTCTGAAATCACATACTTAGCTTCAGTTTGAGTAGTTCTTAAAATCCCATTTCAACTGTACCCCTTGAGTATATAATTTACTGGTAGAAAAGGCAAGTACAAAAATGTAATTACAAAATGAGGCCAGTAGTTGCAATAAGATTCTGCTTATTCTGTTAAAGCTACGAGTTTGACTGAAACCCACACACATGTTTTGTGTATCCAGTCATTGACAGACCTTAGCGTGTTCTGTTTGTACACAGAATGCAAGCGGCAGGAGTATTTGTTACACCACAGCAGTAGTTCCTCTGTTGCAGGAAGCTTCATGTTAATATTCTCAACCTAGGGTATACCTCTAAGGAAGTGACAGTCCTTTCAAATTAATGCACTAAATATCTAACTGTAGTATTAGTTTTCTCAGGAGAATTTGAGGACTAGTATATATGTGTGCACACATGTGCAAGACCTCTTCCTTCAAAATCCACCAGTTTGCTCCCAAGTTGACAGCACTGCCTTCTCCCTTTTGAGAGTTAAATATTTCAGTCTTTGAACATATTAAGTCTCTTAAGAAAGAAGATTAGACTTGTCTTAAACCTCCCCTCAAAAAAAGACTCCTGCCCATTTTTAGCTATTCTGTGACCATGCCTACATGAGCAGGCAATGCAGCCCACTCAGAATGGATTTGTATATTGAAACAGCTGGCACTGAAGACCTAGGAACAACATTTTAGGGAGTTCTTGGCAGCAGGTCCTCCCCATTAAATTGCTAATCTCTACAATTCCCACAACATTGCTGCAATTTCTCAACTTTGTACACACTTGTGCTCTGTTTCAGACAGAATCCCATCCCTTAGCCATCACTGCTGTCCAGGTTTTTTCTAAAGCCTAGACCCTCCCTGACCAAGTAATTTATTAAGCTCATCAGACAGTAGCTTCTGACCTTTGCTCTCTGCTTAGTGGGATGATCTAACCTAAAAGAGACCTATCTGCCAAGCCTTCACTTGGGCTGAGGTAGGTCCTGAGAGCAGGGAGTAGCAAATCAAGTACTGAAGAGTTCAACCCTTCATTACTCCAGTGGGGAAGCCACTTCTGGGGAGCTTTTTGTACTGAAAGTACAGGTCAGTTATATCCAACTTGAATTAAGAGTCACTTCACAGGCAAAGTTACAAAGGACTGTCGGTCTGAAATCTTTATTGCTTCTTTATACATTACATAAGTTAAAACACTTAAGTTCCTGTTACAGTGTAGGCAGCCACACTTTCTAGGATACTTTTAAAGCCCTAAGCAGTTTGTACAACAATTTATCCCACAGCCCCACTCTAAGCAACACAAACTAAAGTCCAGGGTCCAGATTATCCTGACAGGCAGCTGCTTGAAACTCTGCTCTTGCCTTTGCACATCTTCAGAAGGCTTTGAGGTTGACTTGTCAGCTTGCTAAGTTATCTCCTAAAGACAACAAGATCTGCTGCTTGTTCAGTTTAGCCAGGTTTGACAAAAGACATATGGAGCTCTGCAATTGAGATTATCTCCTACTGAAGGAAGGTTGGGTTTCAGGGCTATGCGATTCATCTAAGCAGGTTTGCCATGAAATAAGCAACTTCCAAGGTCTAATTAATGATACCCCCACCATTGGTGGGCCATCTGATCTTCATGTGCAGTCACTAGGGTTCTGTTGCTGCATTCCTCCCAACGTCTGACCTTGCCGTTCTCCACTAAGATAAATTTCCACTCTACTCTGGTGTCCACTGGCAATGTAATGGATTCGGACCAGAAGCCATCCTTGTCATACTTGAGTGGTACGTAGCTGTGCCACTGGCCGAGACACTCATGGTCACCCGTAACGCCAATGAGCTGAGCATCCGAGTGTGTGATATAGTGCACACGGAAAGTCACGTGGATATTTTGGAGCATGGGGGGCACGGCTGCAACCCTCTTAGCTTTCAAGTCCCCATCAGGGCAGTCTCCTTGTTCCCATTCCTTGCCATCACAGTCTTCGGCGCTGCTGCTCTTAGCAGCCTCCCCCCAGGCCTGGTGCTCAGAAACAACCTCCCACTCTTCGTGGTCCAAGTCCCGACTCTCCGCTGGCCGACCCAGCTGCTCTTCAGCCGTGTCCTTATGCGCTTCACCAGGGGCTTCTGCCAAGCCCATCATACACCAACCATCGCTTGCCTGTCCCTTCAGGGGCCGTGGCTCCCCCGCACAGCCCCCGGACACCTCCTTGGGATGCTCCCGGGAGTCGGTCGCACTGGCGACAGGCTGCTTGGCCAGCAGCAGCTCCGTCTCCGCAGGCTCGCGAGCTTCTCCATCGCTTTGGACGTGGTTAAGCTCCGTCCTCGCTGCAGCCGCCACATCCTCTCCTGGCTTCTCCGCAGGCCGCT